TCGCTCACATCCACCAGGGCCTTCTCGCTGCGCGGTTCGGTGATGTTCGGGATGACGCGGGGGACGTGCTGCCACCACGTCGGAGTCGCCACGTTGGCCAGGTGTCCGCTCGGCATCTTCCGTTACTAGAAGATGTTGCTTGAAATCTTCGGTCACATCAGGTAGCCGTTCCCGCAGTAGATCAGGGCGCTAGCGTAGTCAGGTCCGAGAATGTCCATTCCGATCAGCAGCGGCACCTCGTTGTCCATGATGGAGATCTCCATCTTCTCCAGCCCTTCGCCGAGAAAGACGTCGCCCGTCATGGTCCCCATCGAGCTCTTGCGCTTGCCGTCGCCGAAGGTGAAGTGCCCTGTCAGCTCCGCCAAGTCGAACTTGATGTCGTGCTTTTCCTTCACGTCGCAGGCCAGGTTTTCCGCCATCGTGACCCCGATCAGGCTCCGAGTAGCGCCGCAGTCCAGGATCGTCCAGATGCCGCCCTCGTCATCCAGGAGGAGGGCCAGCTCCCCCAGCTCGAGGAGCGCGAACGAGGTGGTCTCGCTGGGCTGGGGCCTGCAGCGCGCCGTGTTCCTCTCCGGGCAGTCCTTTGCCTGGCGGCCGAACTTGCGGCAGGCCTAGCACCTCATCCTGCGCATGCCGCGCACAGGCTCCTCCTCGCCGTCTGCACGCGGCTTGCGCGGCTGGTCCCGAGCAGCTCGAGGACGAGGAGGTCCGTCAGGAGGTCGAGGTGCCAGAAGAGGGCAGTAGTCCCGCGCCACCTTCAGGCGCCTGATGAGGTCCTTCGCGTCCTTGAAGTTCCTTCCCGTCTGCTTGAACTCCGCGTAGATGGCGTTCTCGTCCTCTTCGGTGTCCCCCAGGTCGTCCAGCATCATCGGGTCGTCCTCGTTGGCCAGAGTCACCAGTTGACCCGCGATGTCCGCGAGCTCGGACCGGTCGCCGTCGTTGTGGTCGACGTCGTTGTCGTCGGCCTCGCCGTAGAATCCCGCGCACCTGTCCTTCTTCTCGCGGACCCCGTCGAGCCCCCTCAGCGCCTCCAGCGGGTGCCTCGTGCACAGCGCCTTGCATGTCTTGTCGAAGTCGTAGTCGCCGCCCGCCATGGCGGCGATCTCGCCGCGCGCGACTGGTGACAGCCGCGATCGCCGCATGTACCGCCGCGTCCGCAGCGGCCCCGCGATGACCTCCGTCACGGCGCCGCCCACCGCTTTCAGCTGCGCCAGCAGGTCCCGATCGTGGGCCTCCCAGCGCGCCGTCCTGTCGGGGAGGCCCCCCCCCGACCTCCCGCTGCAGCTTGTTGAAGAACTTCTCCGCTGAGTTCCCCATCTCGCCCACGTTGGACAGGTCGAGCTTCGAGAGGAGAAGCTCGGAGACGCGCTGCCAGCCTTCGAGCTTGCCGCTATCGGAGGCCTCGTCGATCCTCTCGACGTCGGGGCATGCCTGCGCCAGTCGGCGCGTCCTGGCTCCCAGCGCGCGCACCAGCTGGGGCCCCACCGCGTGCCTGTCCTGGAGCTTGTAGCTCTTCGCGAGGAGCCCGACGTCGAACCGGTACGACAGGAGTTTGTCGGGCTCTCCATCCCAGGTGAGAAAGTCGAGGCGAAGTCCACCAGCGGCGCTGGCCGCTGCACCACCCGAAGACGTCCCACTCGCTATTGCCATGGTCAAACGGCTCCACTACCAATCTGACTCCGCGGGTTCCCCAGAGCCCGTCACGTCGTAGAAATCTATGTTCTGAAAGAGGAGCACCCTGTTGCTCCAGCACATGCGCAGCGGCCAGATGCCGCGGCCGGGGGCGCAACGCGCCCTGTCGTATAAATCCCGCCCTCCCGCAACCGAGCCTTAAAGGCTGCGGGGAAGGCAACGCGCCGAGCTGAACCCCTCACGAGATCCCCATCGCAATCAAACTCTTGGGGCCTTTCGGGCTGCTCCCTGGACGTTGCGGAGGCCCTTTTGGGCCCTTTTGGGGTTCTTGGAGGGCCTTTCGGAGCTTCTTGGGGCCTCGAGGATACTTCTTGAAGTCTGTTGGGAGCTCTGAAATGCATCGTGGGCGTTTCTTTGCGGCATCCTGGGGGCATCTGGGGCGGCTCTAGGGGTCTCTTGGGGCTCTTGGGGGCCTCCTTGGGCTTTCCGGGAGCCTCTCGGGCCTCTTAGGGGCATATTGGGGGCATCTCGGGTCCCTCTTGGGAGCTGCTAGGGTCTTCTTGGGACGATGTAGGGTGCCTCTCGTGCCGTCTTGGACGGTGCTAGAATCGAACGTTTGCCCATGGGAATGTGTGCTGCGTTGCTTGTTGAGGCCCTGTTGGGCTTGTCTGGGACCATCGTGGGGCAATATTGAGGCATCTTAGGATTATGCTCGAGCCATCCCGAGGCCTGCCACCTATTGATGTGTACTCATGGGCACTCTTGGCGCTCCCCTGGGGTCTCTTGGGGCGCCCCCGGGGCGATGCTGAAGGAGCCCAAAATCGTCCCCGGGATTTCCGGCATCCTTGCCAGGACCTTGCAGGAACTTTGCTGGGATTCGGCCTGGGTGTGTTTCGTCTGGGGATCCCCAGGGGCCCCCCCTGCGCGCGAACTAGAATACACATATACTCTGTGAACCAGTTCCCGGAGATCTTAGCACGCCCCTGGCCCGTTGGGGCGGCACATGGCCGTTCGGGCTATTCCCTACTTAGGCTCTGCCTAGAAGGGTTCTTACCCTCTGGGCTTACGGGGCCGGGCAGTGGGAACCGGCCTGGGCGGTTCCCCCAGGATCCGCCCCGCGGTTCCCCCAGTTGCGTCCTGTTAGCTTAGCGTTGCTTATCGCATCTTAGCTTAGCTTATTCCATATTAGCTTAGCTTAGCTTCATACTAGCTCAGGTTTATCTTAAATTAGCTTACCTTCATCTTAGCTTCGCTGAGCTTTAGCATAGCAGGGTACAGCATAACATAGCATAGCGTAGCATAGCATAGCGCCGCATACCATATCATAGTATAGCCCAGCATAGCATAGCGCAGCATAGCATATCATAGCGCAGCACAGCACAGCACAGGATAGCGCAGCGCAGCATAGCATAGCAGAGCAGAGCACAGCATAGCATAGCAGCTCCTCCTCGTCATCCTCACCGTCATCCAGCTCCTGGTCCTCCTGCCCTGGATATGTGGGTGTATTTTGTGGCGCTCGTGTGTGCCAACCGCGTTGCCAGGTTAGCTTTCTGTTCGGGTAATTAGCATGGGTGTAATTCTCTACCTAGGCTCTGCCTAGAGGGTTAGCTTAGCTTAGCTTAACTTAGCTTAGCATAGCGCAGCGCTGTATTAGCATAGTATAGCATCGCACAACATAACCAACCATACCATAGCATAGCATAGCATAGCGCAGCATACCATAGCATAGCATAGCATAGCATAGCATAGCGCAGCTTAGCATAGCATAGCACATAATCGCATAGCTTAGCATAGCACAGTGCAGCATGACATAGCATAGCTTAGCATAGCATAGCATAGCGCAGCATAGCATAGCATAACATAGCATAGCGCAGCCTAGCATGGCATATAGCATAGCATAGCATAGCATAGCTTAGCAACTAATGCTGCTTTCCTAGGGGCTTTAACTTCTAGGTAGGGTCGCACTGGGGTCATTATCAGCTTCGCTTGTATATTTCTAGGCCTCCTAGATGGGGTCGGAGTAGATGAGGTTGGAGGATCGAGCCGCATCGCCGATGCATCGCCGATGCGGCTTGATGTGGGGCCTAATCTGCTTCACGCCGACATCGCATATGCATCGCCAACGTCGACGATGCATCACCTGTGCATCACCGATGCATCGCCAATGTATCGGCGATGAGGCGCAATCCTCCGACCCCATCTACTCCGACCCCATCTAGGAGGCCTCTAAGATTGAGCGCGATCAGGCGTATCTTCAATGCTTATGTAACGAGGTCGCCTTTCTTCTCACGGTCTCGATCTCGTAGATAATGAGCTGTCCGCCTCCAGCATTCGCATTATTCGTAGGATCGTCCATTCCTTGTTCTTGCTCTCGATGGCGGTCGCTCGTGGGGTTCTTGTCCATGCGATTGTGTGTTATGTTTATTTCGCAGGCGTGTTGTAACATCCGTAGTGTCGCTGGGCCTCACCGAGCACAATCGTGACCACACGAGGCGAGGAATTGTTTAGAATATCGTAGCGGCAAGGAGGTCGAACGTGGTGGGTAAGACGAAGCAGTTCCAAAACGTGATGACCCATGTTCCCTGCTCTTGCCGCTACGTTTACCAACGGCGATGCAACCCAGATTGTTTGAATTATTGTTCTACGTTGTTCATGAATGCAGCTGGTGAGGCAATCTCATCATATCCAACCCTGGGATGATAGGAGCATCGCGTAAATTGCGAAGGATGCAGTTCGCCAGTCGAACCTCAATATCAAGCATACCATGAACGGCGTGCCCAAGCGACAAAGCACAGTGACTGCCAACGTGATAACAAGAGCCTGGGCCGACAGTCTTACAGGCTCGGTACTCTGGGCGCCAAGCCCCAATCCGTTCTTCATCCCCGTCTGCATGGGGCACGCATTCACACCAGAGTGATCATGCTTGGCCGGTCGATCCAACATCGTCATGTCAGAAAGCAACCAGCAGAAACATCAGCGGTAAACACCGAGTGCAACAGTAACAGCAGGCCAGAAGAGCTGGAGCGGCAGGAGGGTGGGGAGATTACAGAGGCGGCGGCATTCAGAACAGTACATGCGGCCTCTTTGAAAGCGGGCATGCTGCGCCATGCCGACAAGAAGTCCTGACGCTACCCTCCACAGAAGATTTGCACATCGGTGTGCATGAGACGCGCGGCGCTCGCAGTTCGTCTGGGGAACGCGTCGCCCCTCGACTCCGCTTTTTCGGACCCATCACCGTCACCAGGAGGCCGCTCGCCGCTTGCGGTCTTAAAAGAGCCAAACGTTCCGGACTGTCTACAAGCGAAGTCCTCACAGTCACGGGTCCAAGTTGTTGTTGGCCACGTAATCGGCGGTCCTGGCGCCCGCAGGAGCCAGACGATGCCCCTGAGCAGGATCTGCCCGCGGCAAGCTCCACGGCGGCCAGCTCCACGGCCGGGGGGAGGGGGAAAACTTAGCGTCGCTTTGCTTTTCCAGGGCCAGAATTTACACGTATCCACCGAGTGGCGTTTTGGGGACCCGATGTCTAAAGACCCCAGGAGGCAGTGGGTATGCGTATTGTTGGTCACTGGGGGGCTTGAACATCGGTTCCCTAGGCGGTGGATGCACATGAATTCGAGCCTCCGCATGTCGTCCAACTCTCGAGACACATGTAGCATGACCCCATCCCGTCCTTTGGCGACGACTTGCATGCCGTGCAAATCCCCCCCTGATGCGGGGGAATGTGTGCACCAGACGTGTTCTCGGAGACGGGTAGCTCCCAGTTAATATGTCAGCGTTTCCTGTCTTTGGCGGTGGAGAGGCTGGGACGCTTGCCAGCATACTTAATCAGAGAACAGTGACACTTCTGTGCGCATCCCCCCTGTAGTCGGAACGACGTCCTGAAAGGGCGAACGGGATGGTTCAATATCGCGCTGGTATTGTTTTGCTCGTGAGACGTCATTTTCGCATCGGCAGCATGTGACACATCGAGAACTGGCCGACTGCGATCGCGCTTGCTCGCCATCGCCACGTACCAGTGATCATGGGAGCAGTGGGCTACAGCAGCTCCCCTGGATTCCGAGGTCCCGAGAGGCACTCCTGAGATTCACCGAGATTATTTGGCACTCTTGCTTCCTCCACTTTCCGCGGAGGCCCCCTGGAAGACTGGAATGCCTCCCCCCTCTCCCCCCATCCTCTCACCTTCCTCCCGTATCCTTCCCCTACCCGCTGCCCCCATGCCCTTCCCCCTGAGGCCCTACGTGGCTGGTCCGAGATACTTGAAATTGGCCCGATGCGTTCTGCCATCGCCCCCACCCAATGGAGGAGGAGGAAGAGAAGGAGGAGGAGAAGGAGGAGGAGGAGGAGGAGAAGGTAGAGGGGTCAAGTTTGCCACGTTAAGCAAGTCAGAGGGCCCCGCCTACTCCCACCCTCCACCGTCCTTCCCCCAACATGTGAGTCAGTTGTGGCACAACTTGACATTGGGATTGGAACACGCTCCACCTCGCAAGTGGGAGGCTCTCGCGCGCGGCCGCGCTTCCGACGACTTGGCGACGCCCTTCTCCAGTTGGATGTCCTGCCACTCACTGTCAGACGAGCGGGGGCGCCAATCGCGGGCGTCAAGCGATGGAGGCACGGGCAAACCAGGGACAGCATTGCTTGGGACTGCGTCTTCGTGTGGCCAACTTGCTGGTGGAATCTGGGACGCCCTGAATTACCAGGCTATTCAGCGTTTCCAGGCCCGGCGCCAGGGTCAGCGGACTTTGATTACTCCCAGGGCCAACTCCGAATAGCGAGTACTTGAGGGCAACCGCTGCGTTGTTAAGAAAGTGGTTGGCACGCCCCTGTGCGTAACCGTGCTCATGCAGTTCATTATTTTTGCTTCGCTTCATGAAGAGGCCCGAACCCAGGCTCATGTGCATGTCTTCGTTAACTTGGATCGACGAGGGCATGTACACCAGTTTGTGCGGCATTTGTGCCCATATTATACCTTCTGGGAGCCCCTAGACCCTAAACGCACAATCTCATCGAAAAGCCCAATAATGAAATAACCGCCGCCTGCCCCAGTCGCGTCGCCATTAACTGGACTCCAGCGCGGGTGAGCATGAGGGCCTGCTCGACGACAGTGGGGACCTAGGGTTCGCGCGGGACCTGGCCAGCGCCGACGGCCGTCAGTTGCTGGATCTGCGTGTGGCCTCCTGGTGGGGGATGGCTGCGGCGTGGCAGCGGAGGGCCGACGTTCTGTGGCGTGGCCCAGCGAAGGGCCGAGGTTCTCGCCATCGCTTCGCCCGCCAGCGGACCGTCATGCTCTCAGAAAGCACCCAGCGTCGTGGACGGCCGCTCACATGCGGAACCTGAGGCTGGACGGGCTCCCATGTCTGGCCGGGGCAGGCGGGCCGCGCCCACTCAGCCTCCTTCCGCTCCAGTGCAGCTTCGCTGCGCCCGACGACGCAGTTCCACGGAGAGCGTTTGTTCTCGACTTTGAACCCCTTGCCACGGGGCATTCGTGCATGGGATGCTTGAAGCACACCCAACCCTTACCACCTTTGGACTGTGGTGGGCTGGGCTTCCTCTTCGGCGCTGGTGTCTGGACGGGGGGAGGAGCGTTTATGGCACCCGCGTTTCCGAACGTCTGCGCGTTGTGCTCGTAGAGCACGCTATCATGATCCTCCTTTGTTTCTCTCCCCGTTGTCGCTCGCAAGGTAATTCCGCTTGCCATCCTCATGGTTTCGCGGTTCGTTTATCACCACCGCTCGTTAGCATCTCTTTCATCTTCATCATGTGTCCAGTACCTCGACTCCTCTCTCTATGAGTTCCTTTTTCCCACTGGACTCAACCCCCTCGCCTCCCGCACACGTATGCCATATCTTCCCCCCTCAGTCCTCCCCGCCCATCCTTCCCTCCATCCGTCTTGTTGGCCGTCCGCCCACGTTCACGCACCGATCTGCAAACGACCCTGTATCTAAAGTTTCCTGCATGCACCCTTGTTAGAATTTGAGCGCGGGAACGGTGGGAGGGCAGTGACAAGTTTCCGGCGAGAGCGACGTCAGAATCAGTAATCGGATACGTTTAGACTTGTTGCGTTCTCTATGCAACTCATGATCTCCACTTTCCAGCACACAACCACTTCCCCGTGACATGATGCTGTTGATGTGTTGGTGCGGCATGTGCGTTATTCCGCTTCGGATGTTTGATCGGATGCCATGTTGTGCACTCGCTCAAACACTATGCACGCAGCCGTTGTCTAAACATCTTGCTAGAAGCGCCGCGCCCGCCCCTGAACGAAGGCCCAGTAGAGCTGCGCGGGCACAACCCGCTCGTACGAGGATGGTGGCTTCGCCCCTCACCAGGGGAAGTGCATCATCATAGACAGGCAGGTCACTATTTCAATATCCAAGGCCAGGGAGCTTCTTGTTGAGCCAGAGACGGGGGCGCAGCGGGCAAGTAAGGCAAGTGGAAGCCATCCTGGACTCTGGGGGGTGATTCAGCTCTGCCTTTGCGATTCCCACAGGAGCGTCCCTGACAATCATAATGATTCGCCATCTTTGTTGATGAAGTTCGCATATCCAACTGACGTTGGATTCATCGCGCCAGCTAGGCGCCCGTTTTGCGTTCGGCCGCCGATCGCGCAACTCAAATAGGACGCAAGCAGTAGCAGGCGGCTGTATTCTCGGCCGCCGAGTGCACAACCCATGCAGCAACCAATGGCATACAGGTGCCTTCTTGGTGGGCGAGTGCGCTACCCATGGGGCAATCAATCAGAGGCCGTGCGCAACCTATGGCGCAACCAACAGGCTGTTTTCTTCTCGGCCGTCGAGTGCGAAACTATGCCGCAACCAGTCGCACGGTGTTCTCCTCTCGTCCGCCGAGTGCGCAATCAATGCCGCAGCCAATCGGAGGCAAGTTTATCCTCGGCCGCTGAGTCTGCCACAGATGGCGCAGCCGATAGAAGGGTTGTTTGAGTTCGGCAACCTCCGACATCCTTTTCGGATGTCCCAACTTATGGTGCAACCCATTGCGCAAACGACGAATGGCACAACCCATACCGCCGCGGCACAAACTATGGATCGCGCAACCTACTGCGCAACCCATGCATGCCCCGAACAAAGGCGCAACCCGTGGTGACGCAGCACATCGCTATGTCGCGCAACCAATTGCGCGCCACATAGATGTTACACACACGCACACACACACACACGCGTGGCCGTGATCACGGGGTTGCGCTCGATTTTTGCACGCCGTTTGTGCTGGCGGCGGGCCATCAGCGTTGAGTTGTCTTGCGATTTGCTTATCTCAAGCGGTAAGGGCAGTGCGGAGGATTTTCGATGTGCAGACCCAGCCTGACAAGTACTCATCACGCTTCGCGTTCACCGCACCTCCGTGTAGTCCTTGCCAGGCGGGCCAGGCATGTCTCCCCGACGCGCTGAATACACGCCGAACGACGTCCGAGATTGCCCCGCACGAGGCCAAGAGCAGCCCCATAACTTTCCCAAATTGACCAGGGACGGCCCAAGAGGTTCCCAAGGAGGTCACAAGAGCCCCAGAACGGCTCCTGGGAGCCAGGAGGACTTTCAGACGTCCAAGTGGTGGGGTCGAGCCCGCTGGGCCCGAATCAGTGCTAGTTTGGGCCCCGGTTTCGGGTCTACACTGGGCGCAGAAATGTCGAATTGCGAGACCCAGACAGCTTTCAAAATTGCAAGTTGCAGTCAGGCCACGCCACAGACGAGCCCGAACATCTGCTATAAGAGATCCGCGGGTGACCCCCAGCCAAGCGAACAACAGCTTATAGGTGTTGCGCTGCTTTCGAAGGGCTAGACCTGTCGGCGAAGTTGGGTCGAGGAGGCGTTCTCTAGAAAACTGGTCTCGGAGGCCAAGAGGGGCCGGGGTGACAGCAGTGGCCCAACTGCAGAGAACACTGGTTTCGAAACAGTATTGGGAATGATCTGGAGCGTGAGCTCGTCTTGGGCGCAGTCTTTGAATTGTGCTGGACTCCCGAAAGAAAAGGGGGTGCAGCCAGGCGGCAGAGTGGCGGGACCTCTTGAAGGGGAAAAACATATGAGAGGTTAAAGCTTTGAATGGTTTCCATGCGTCGACGAAGTTCCGTACACCCCTCAGCCTGGATGATGGTGGGCATGCGAATTCAAGACGTTTCACGTTCACTACTCGCCCATCCTGGCTCTCGCCGGCTGAGCCGTAGATGATCCCAAGTCGGGATGAGGGCATGCCGAAAACAGTTCAAGACGGTACCGAAGGTGTGTTGTGTATCCTTTCCTGCACTCCATTCTCCTCTATACCCACGCCGGGTGGACTTAGGCATGCGAGGTGGCTCAACGATGGATCGTCGTGTGATCGTTGGTCTGTCATCGGTGGCACCCCTGGTCAGTGGTATGGCGGCTGGCTCTCTGATGACCCTTACCACATCCATCGTAGGGGGTCAGAGAGCCAGCACACGGCGCGCCCTCGGGCGCACGTCACGCGAAACTTCGTCAGACCCAGCCAGCGCGCGGGGCGCCGTCGAGGCCCCAACAGGCGCTCACCAAGCGAAACTGCGGCGGTCCCGGCCAGCGCGCGGGGCGTCCACAAGGGGCCCACGGCCCACGGGCGCCCATCAGGCGAAATCCAGGCGGACCCAAACAGCGCACGAGGTGGCCACGAGGGCCTAACCAGCGCCCACCAGGCAAAACCGCGGCGGACACATCCAGTCGTTCGATGATAAGACGTCAGAGCCTCTGATTGCAAAAACTGCGTGGGACAGTCCAGCGCAATCCAGGACAGCCCAGGCAGTCTGGGTCCATGCGATGCATTGCAGATGTTATGCTCTGCGTTGTGTTGGGGAGTCGAGGTCTGTCTTGCCTGCTCCGCCCGCATTCTGCGTTTGCTGGCTGCGCCTTCGAGAGGCAGTCGAGATGTTCAACATTGGCATCATGAGCACGGAAGCGTTTGCCGTAGTCCGTTATGAATGAGCTCAGGCGTTGTATATTTTAGGCATGGCCTGCCACAGAGAGGCAGCCATATCACATGTCGGGTTGCAATGTGATTGGTGCCGCGTGCGGGTACTCATCTCGTCGCAATGATCCCCATTGCGTGTAGTGTTCGGGAGTGTTTGCGAGGGTTCAGTCAGGCTTCGAGATTATGGTGCGCTGTATGTTATTGTAATGGCCTCCGGCCAGTGCCGCGGATCCGGGGCGCCTCCGATGCGTGTGGGAACGGACGATGACGACGACGACGACCGACGACCGGGTCAACGACGGACGATGATGACGACGACGTCCCTCTTTGAGCTCGACCCCCCCCCTCCGTCCCCGCTCGAGCTTCCTCCTTGTATCCCCTTCCCCCCGCTTGAGTTCGACCCCCCCCCCGTCCTCGCTCGAGCTCCCCCCCCCCCTCGATTCTTGGACCCGCGCTGACCACCCTCCCCCGCTTGAGCTCGACCCCCCCCTCCGTCCCCGCTCGAGCTTCCTCCTTGGACCCCCTTCCCCCCGCTTGAGTTCGACCCCCCCCCGTCCTCGCTCGAGCTCCCCCACCCCCTCGATTATTTGACCGACCCCCCCCCCGCGCTGGCCCCCCCCCCCTCCGCTTGAGCTCGACCCCCCCCCTCCGTCCCCGCTCGAGCGTCCTCCTTGCCTTGGACCCCCCCTCCGCTTGAGTTCGACCCCCCCCCCCCCCGTCCTCGCTCGAGCTCCCCCCCCCCCTCGATTCTTTGACCGACCCCCCCCCGCGCTGACCCCCCCCCCCCCGCTTGAGCTCGACCCCCCCCTCCGTTCGACCCCCCTCCGTCCTCGCTCAACCCCCTCCCCCCCTCGATTCTTGGGGGGGTCAGGGGAGGCGGGAGGGGTCCGCTCTGCAGGGGGGGAGGGGGGCTGCAGGGAGGAGGTCCGCTCTGCAGGGGGGGAGTTTGCTCTGCAGGGGGGAGGTGGTGCAGGGGGGGGGCTCGCTCTGCAGTGGGAGGGGGGGGCTGCAGGGGCGGGGTCCGCTCTGCAGGGGGGGAGGGGGGAATGAAGACCATCTCTGGGCCTCACCCTGCCAGGACCTGTCCGGGTACTTTTCGTTCGAGGGCCTCTAGGGGCCGCCCCACGCGGACGAACTAGTAAACTGTAGACCAGTAACCAGAGTTCTTAGCACGCCTCTGGCCCGTTGGGCCGGCGAAGTCTGGTCAAGCTGCCATATCTATATCTATATCTATATATCTCTATATATATATATGTGTATTGTGCTGCGATCTGGCAAAGCCAGCAGCGGTCACGCCGAATCTGATGTATCATCTGGAAGCGCGGCGCCCTTTTCAAACCTGATGGCGTAGGCGTCCCATACCTGGTGCAACAAGTGCGCTTGCTGCGTTTTATTGTTGGCCTGCTGGACGCGATGGCGTACTCATCGGCATACCTCCGGGGACGATGTTTGACGATACGGTTGAGGGTCCACACTTCTGGATGGCTCGGATGGGTTGGGTTGGGCACCCGCTTCATTATTCTTCTCCCTCTTCTCCCTCCTCCATTCCCCATTCCTGTTTTGTCATTATCTTTTCCTCTTTGTGAAATCAGTTCGCGTGTTCTTTTCTCTCCAGCATGTCCTTGTGCTCCCCAGCGTGTCAGGGCCAACCATGAGGCTCGCGTGGCCTGCAGAGGGCCCTCCGAGGCGCGCGAGCCCCCCCCGTACCCTCCCCCAAGCAGAACACGTCCAACAGCTTTTTTGCTCTCTAGCGGTATGCGCAGGTAGCTTGCAGGCGTCTGGGGGATACGGTCAAACATTTGTGGGACGTTGTGCGTCACACACTTGGAGCACATGGAAACCCAATTTCGTTGAGCGGCTCAGACCTTGGGCAACCGAGGCGAAGAAACGAGTCATATTTCTATCATGGTGCCACTGCGCCCTTGTGACCAACGTTCGACACATGTATACATGTGCGGTGTTTGAAGCCGCTGTTGAGCAGTTGAGCTCTTATTCAGTTGGTTCGGCTTCTGAGTGCCAAGTGACAGCGTCTGGGTGCTGAGTGTCAGGTGGCTTCGCCGTGGTTCACTGAAAGTTCCACGTGGGAACCTGCATTATGAAGCACATTCGTCACGTTACATCAACTCTCTCTCTCTCTCGCGAGAGGTCAGCGAAGAGGCCTGTTCTGCGCCATCAGCCGATGTTGTGCGTGGTCAGTTAGGTGAATCCTCCCCCCCAATCAGGATGTCCCACGGCAGAAACCTTTCATGTTGGAGGGTATTGTTCTTGCGCCTGTAGTCCACCTGACATGTTTCGCCTTGTCCTGTCGTGCGTGGTTTTTCGCTCTCTCTCCCTCTCTCTCTCTCTC